GCGTCAAAAAATTATAGAAATTGCAATTGCAACAATTCTTAAAGTTAACTTTGGCGTGAAACTTCTTAAATTCACGCTATTACGCCTTTCTGAAGTACCTTCTATCTACCATAAAAATTAATTTCGAAGCCGAAATTCCACGTACTCCTAGGACTCCCACACGATACAACTACCATTCCATTCAAGCAAAAACACAACCAAAACTCCCACGAGACCTGGTACAGTATTACTCATAGATGAAAGGTACTTTTAACCCCCCGACTAATCCGTACAGCATCACAAACTCAGTGGCCCCACTTAGGGCCCCGTGGCCCTCTAACGGTACCCGGAAACCCACAAGCCTTTCCAATTTTGGCACACGGGATACAATTAGCCCCTCCTCTCTGTCTCCATATAATGAGATCGCCGCCAGATTTTTGGGCAGACGCCCGCACGACGTCACAATATAATATGCCGACGCGGGGTGGCCCGTGGGAAATTATGGGTTCTCCCCAAAAAATGGCCCAAAAACTCCCGGCAAGATTTTTGCACATTTTATGCGAATTGCAGCCGGGGCATTTGCACCGCCGCTTTGTAGCTTTCCAGCTAACCTTTCAGATTTGTGGTCGTAAAGGTGGGGCGTTACGAATACTGGATTGCCCTTGTAATTGGGTGAACGTGCGGGGCAGTAGAGAACAACTAAACGGGAGAACACTTCCTTGAGTAGTAGTTGATCAGAGTTCCTATAGTTTCTAGAGCTCTTTAGCTTAATTAATAAGCGGACTATAAGACCCTGGGCCATAGAAGAAAGGACTGAAAAGTGCATAAAGGTAAAAAAATGTTAGCAAACGTTAAATCCACCCTAAAAACATAAAAAAACATTGCAGCATGAATTAAAAAGGCGAGGTAGGAAAGAAAGGATTGAAAATTATGTAAAAGTAATGAGCTACGCTAGGAAAAAGTTAAATCTAACCCTAAAAGCCAAAAAAAACAGTAGCGCGCTTGAAAGAGGAGAAAATGCAACGATCGCATAGAGTAAACGCGTAGAATGTAGCTCATCGTAGCCCAAACTTGGAAAACGCGGGGCTCCACTAAATGTCTTTACCTAACGCGTTCTATACATCGAATTTAACAGTTTTTTTTGCGCTTTTTACACAGCTATCGCTTCAAGCGCATGTTCCAGCAGTTGTACGTACACGCCTATGAACATCTGCGTCTCACTTGTTTTCACAATATCTCTACGTAAATAGGTGTATACGTACTAATGCCCAAACTTGGGCTGCAGCCTAAAAGTGCGCTTTATTACTAAAAATATGCCTCGATTCAACAGTTTTTTTTTCTAAATCCGAGCCCAAATCTGCGTCACATCCGCACGTACCCCTAGCGCGCCACCCAGCCGAGCAAAAACCTAGTACGACCTTGCACCACGAACATTCTCGAAGAGGCAGCCCGGAAACTGGAGCGCCCCCCACCACCTAGCTCGAGCTGGTCGAGCGCCAAACATGAATGACCCACAGTCCGAGCGAAAAACACACACAACTACAACCCGGGGGGAATCCACCCCAGCCAGATGTTTTTCCTGACGATTGTTGCTCGTGTGCGCGAGTTTTCCCCCCGAATCGAGATCGAGACAAGGGCATGACCCCGATTTCGATCCCAAAACAGCCGGTGGCCCCGAAAAACAAAACATATCCGTGGAGTCTATAATCCCCCGCGACCACCTTTGGCGGCTTTCATTTGGCCATTTGGCTTGCTTCTCTATGCCTCATCCAATTATTTTTCTGTGGTTTTCCGGTAATCCGGTGGAAGACCTATTTGAGGTTTTTTGGCCGAGCTGCTGTCTGCCCGAAAAAGTAGTAAAACGCAGACTAACTTTAGGAATCCTTTTTAGCAAAAATTTTAGGTATAACTTTACAGAATTAATGCGGACACCGGTGCCAAAAAATTAGGAAAAGCTAAATAGAACGCGCGCATAGCATAAACATGTCTTTGGGAGCTGAACGTAGTTAATGCCTGGACAAGTAGACCTAATGATTCCATAACAGAGCAAATTGCAAATTAAAAACGCTAGGGGACCATCAGATTATGCGCGCAGTCGTAGGTTGAATTTTCCAGGAATCGGCTACGATCTGCTCCTCATTACACGTTTATTCGATGTGCGCGTCTTATTCTAGCTTTTCCTATCTGTTAGCACACTACGATGCCTTAATTTTGTTATGCAATTATACCGTAGCGTTTTGTTAAAAAAGTTATAGTGCTAGCATGCTTTTTACTACTTTTTACGGGCAGACAGAGGTCGGTCGGTAGAACCTCAAATAGGGTTTCAAGCGGATTACCGGAAAGCTCAGAAAACTTTTTACTTTTGATTTCTTACTTTTTACTAAAAAAATCACGTTTTACCAGCTTTCAGAACCTTTTCGAGAGATCAATCTTTCTCTAGAAACACTTCCCAACTTTCCAAACCACCCCAGACTGTCCCATCCCTTTAAACGCGTCCCACCATGTTCCCCCCGGGGTATCCCCATCTGGCATACGGTAAGTACGCGCTGGGTGGGCCCCGCGCGACCTCCCCCTCCTTTCTCTAGTAGTGACTCAGAGGCCAAGCCCAGGCTGACCGGGAAGGACCAGCGGCAATGTGGCTAGGATGGGAGAGGGGATAGGCCTGTGACCTTGAGACTGTGTGGGCCCGGTGCCAGCCTCCTTGGCATCTCCGGGTCGCGCGCGCCGCCCAGAGCCTGTCGAAATGATGACCTCCTCCAACAGGAGCACGACGAAAAGTTGCGCAACGCGCCGGGCGCGGGGCGCTGCACCCATTTCCTTGCCCTGCCCCCGTTATTGACCTAGGTGGATCTCGGACGTAAGGTACCTATTTCCGGTGGTCTATTTGTATTGAACCCTGGCATCTCGCCAAAAAAAATCAACCCGTCCACCCACATAGTAGATATACGAAAGTGCGCAACTCGACAGCCGGGGGAAGAAACGTATGTCGACGACAGTCTTTGTGCCCCCGCGCGCGCCCCCAGAGGCCACGGCGCATGGCACGATGATCCAGGGGTCAGCCCTAGGGTCAACAGTCCGTCCTCGGCTAGCGGATTCCACACATCTCCACCGCCCGGTCCACCCACCACTACTCCCCCACCCTATTATTGTTTGCCGAATGATGCGGATGCCCCCGGGGGGTTATCTTTGGGGGGAAAATGGCTGCCCCGGGATGGGAGGAGCCAATTCGACAGTTCTGCGCTTTTTAAACCGAAATCAACTAAAATTAAACCTTCCCTAAAATTAGGTTTAACTAAAATATTCTAGAAAAACCATAAAGCGGGATTTAGGACTTTAAAGAGACAGTAGCTTGTTAAAAAGCGCAAAATTCAATGCTGGAAGAGAAATTTCACGTCGAGTTTCCAGGAATTGAAGTACGAAAAGCTACTCAATACACTTCTACCGTGTGCGCTCGTTACATTCCTCGATTTGATTATTTTTGACAAGCTTTTCCCTTTAATATATAAAAGTTAGAAATCAGCCTCACCTCCCGGCAGAAGTTTAACCCGACGAGAAGCTACTTAGTACGCATTTACTCTTTGCGTTTTCTGCTTTTTCAAGCCATTTTCTCTTTTTGACCTGTCACTGCCCCTTTAATAGGTATTATTATTTTTATCAACCCTCCTCACCTGCTAAACATACTCCTAAAAACGACAAGCCAAAAACCAGAAAGCATAGCCCGAAAAATTCGAGCTTCCACAGCATTCCCCCCCTGCTTTATCCCTTACCCGCTACCACCGTATGCAACCTTGACCACAATCCCCACCCGTTCAACACTACCGTAACTATACCGCCCGTTCCCGCAGTTGAAAGGCCCCGGGGGAAGGGCCACGCCTTTTTTGCGGGGCTGGCCCGGTGCCAAGTCCGGCCCCCCGGCCAGGATGGGGGCGGTGCCAGCCGGGCCATATATTTTGCCGGCTCATTCCCAGCCACCCCATACCTACCGGAGATTCCGCTAGACTGTTTCTACCAGGGGGCCAGCTGGTGCCTTGCTTGACTCTAGGAATTTTTTTGAAATCTAGCGAAAATGGAAAACTCTGCTTATGTATACCTTTAAGGCCATCGGCTTATTTTAAAGATTGGCATAGGGCTTCTTGAGGCCTTCCTTGGCCCTTTAAAAAATTCTTAGACATAGAAAAACAAAAAGAAGCAATAGAAATATTAGCTTTTTAACTAAAAAAGCGAATTTCCGGTTGAGACCGGGTTTTTCGGGATCCTTTTTACCGTTAAAATCTTTTGAAACCTAGCTAAACAAGGAAAAGCACGAAAAAGAACGCATTTCGGACCTGCAACCCATTTTTAAGATTCATATCCGTTTCCTAGAACTTTCTTAATACCTAAAAACTTTCAAATTTAGCGAAATCAAGAAAACTTCTGCAAAACTCAGCTTTAAAACCCACGACCCATTCTCCACTTCCAAAACCCCGCCACCGTAGACCCCCATGTTTTTTGCATTGTCCAAACGTTCCAGTTCAACCCCCTCCCTCCGACCAGACAAGCACAAAAACCCAAAAATCGCGCTAGCCGGTGCCCCACCACGCGCTAATTTGATAGGGACGCGCGCGCCGGGTCGTGCGTGGGAATCTGGGGAGATCTTCTGCAGCAGTTCCCAGCACAACCGTTCTTGACTATGCTCATCCCTCTTACCCTCCTCTTACTTTCACCTTCGTGCCATTCGCCGCCCGGTGGAACTGGGCGGGTCTCGGGGGGCTGGTCAAGGCCGGTTAGCCGGGTGTCGTCTTCATTGAGGAGGTGGTGCTTGGGGGAGAAGGAGGAGGCTATCCTATCGCTTGACTTTCGCCCCCGATCCGCCCGCCCCCGACACAGCTCCGCCTCCCACCACCCGTGCCAGGGTGCCAGATCGGTTCCTCGTGGGCCTCGCGCTCAATTCGGGCTTGAACATCTTGTTTTGTCGGCTAGATATCGTTTTCCGCTTCTTCGATTCACTACGAATACCTTTCTCATCAGCCAATTTCAGCAATATGAACTCCTTCGTGTTGATCGCCCTCACCCTCGTCGCCCTCACGGCCCTGTGCGCGGCTAGACCGCATCAAGGTAGGTAGAAGCTAAAATAGAAGTTTTATAGTCAGTCAAAATATACTAGCAACAGATTAAAAAGTCTAAACAAGCCGATCTTCTCGTATAAATACAAAAACTTATCTAGATAGGTCGAAAAGTGTCTAGAATACAAAAACTAAACCGTAATATACCAATATCATAGGACCAATTCTAGAATACGACTACGCCACCGACCTCGCTGAAAGCACCGAAGACCCCGGCGTGGCCATCGACCGCGAAGTGACCACATCCCGTCACCACTACACCCACCACCACCACAAGAAGCACCACCACGACGGCGAGTCCACCAAGGACTACCTGAAGACGAACCGCCTCGGCAAGCTCCGAAAGTACTTCGAGGATCACTACCTGTGAGGTAAGAGAAAAACACTCAATTCTCATCTGAAACTATAGCATCTAGACACAAAACACCGCGCGCGACCAGTCGAGGAACACCGATGTCGTCTCCGGAGAAGTGCCTTCGCCCATCTCCAGTCTAGCCCCATAGGTATCCCTTGGATAGGTCTGTAGACATCCTCCCCCACGGCTATCCCGTATCTAGAAGTTCTATTATTATTATTATTGCTATTACTTTTTGTAATTTTCCCTCTTTCCATCGAAAAAACTACAATTTCCACTATTTTACCGGGAAATCCCACCCAATCTAGCGCCTGTTAACTTAATTTATGCCATTATACCCCCACTCAACACCCAATCTCGGTCACAACGTGTATCCTTTCAAAAAACTACCCGGATGAACATCACAGCCCCCCACCTATTATATACTAGCCCTTGTTGGAGCTTATTTATTTCCCGATTTTCACTATTATATACGACTTCTAAGATTTGCCCACGGTTGTTTGTACATGTCATGTATCAGTGCGGATCATACCTATTCTTCCCCCTCCTCCAAGCCCCGTCACAGAGATATTCTTGCTTGTCGATCTCACCTTACGCATATCTTTCATCCCCCGATATCCCATGTGTTTGTGTGCTCCAGAGAAATCCCCCGTAAATTCTGATGCTTCACCCCTCGCCCACCCGCGATTCGTCCCCACACCAAATATCCCATACCTCATCGTTGCATAACGTTATTTTAACTTTACGTAACTTCCTAAATACCCCCCTTTGACCACCCCCGACTACTTGCTCACCACCCCAACATTGTCCACAAAAAGATGACTATTTTCAAAGAGTTATACGTAAAGAGATTGTAAACGGAAGTAGTTGATGCACGACATGTGACATCCTAAAAACAATATATCAAAAACAGCTATAATTTTTGCTACAAGAAACACAATATATGATAAGCCTAGAACAATACAAACTATTGCAAAAACTTGGTAGAAAATCAAGGAAAAGCCTATCGCTTGCGGAATAGACTACAAAAAGCACGCCGAGCGCTCGCCATTTCTGTTGGTTGCCTAAATTTCTTCCAAAATAGCCTTTTTCTCAGGAATTCCCTTCGAAATATCTAAAGGAAAGAGATGGGGCACCCATTTTTTTTCTGGTCATTTTCGACGGCTTTGCTTTCGTTTCAACGGAAATAGGCCTGCCAAAATAGGCTTTTTCTCCTGAATGAACCTAATACTAATCTAAGAATACATCTTTACCGCCCTACCAGCCACCCCAAAATTAGGCGGCCTCAGCTATATGTATCACGCGTTCATTTCCTCAGGCGGCTAATTAAGCCTATTAGCCACTGGGGCCGCCCGACTGCAGCGAGACCTTATCAAGGGGCCGTAAAAAAGGGTCGCGTGCCCATCGCATCAGCTTTTCCTCCCGACACAGCCGCTAGAAAACGCAACAACGGTACTAGCTGAAGCCATCGGGGGTGAGATTGGAAGGCGCCTAAAGAACCACATTCGATGACGTGACATTGTTGCATCCGGAAAGAGGGCGCCTAAATATTTCATCGCCTGAAAATGACGGCAAGCTGTGGATGCTGCACGTGCGGAATCGCCTGGGACGCGAATAAAACAAAGATTTATCCGTTTTCGAAAGGCGATCACAAAAAACTCTTCAATGGCCACAGAAGAGACGGGGATAGAATTCGAAAGGCAGCAATTGTGCTAAATAATTAAAAACGCCCCAGCCAAAAGCATAAAATGATTCAAGCCTTCAAAGGGTCATTGACGGGCGGTATATGAGCTGGGGCACCCAGGCCGAGCTTCTCCGAGTTGAGGGCCGCCTCGTCCTTCTGGAAATCGGGCGAATCGTAGACGTCACCTTGATGGTAGTAGTCGGTGATGATCCGGTAGACATGGTGCGGGTTGATCACCGTCGTGTTGGTTACATATAGGGAGACCAAGCCGGGCTCGGTATATTCGATAGCCGGCTGTAGCACACGAACGCGGCCTAAAAAATTTTATACCGAAGAAAAGGAAAAAAAATTTATACTAAAGAAAAGGAAATCGTGATTTCCTTCCCCTCAAAATATCCGCTATTTGGTACTGGATCCTAAGCGGTAGGACGCTAACTGGCTTTATTTAGTCTAACCTTACTAAGAAACAAACATTTCGTAAAAAATGTGGGAAAATTTAAGTATACGGTCACCTAGCCAAACCCAACTTATTTATATAATAGAAATGTTCAGATCGACGAGCTGGTTCAGGATCAGCTGAAAAAACTATTGGGAAACACTTCTGGAGCGAGATATGGGGGTCCAAATTTAGCTAGTTAGGTATACGGTCACCTATCCAAACAGGCTTGTTTTATGCATAGAAATGTGCAGCTCGTCGAGCAGAGCCGATATGTGTTCAAAGAATCATTGGGAAAAATGTATAAAGAAAGTTATGAAGGTTTGAAACTCAGTTTCCGGAAAGTTCCGGCTACGCGACACTCCTTTGTACGGAGCGGTGTAGTCTGTATTCGTACGTACCTCTGCAATTATACATGTTTGTAATTTTTAAGCGTTTTAACGCTATTAATGTAAAATAAAGGTAACGGTGAGGCTTTTCACATTGTCAGGCAAGGTGGGCCGTCGCTTCGGATGGGCTGCCGCTCCACTCTTCCGAAATGGGGGCGCCCCCGGCCGCTTCGCCGGCCTTGGCGCCCCCATTTCGAAACCCTGTACGAGCTCGCGCCCATCCGAAGCGACTAGGCCCCGGGTGGCACGAAGCCTTATTTTTAGGTAAAGTTTGAGTGTATTAGAGCAAAATATCCAAATGAAATGGGCCTTTTTTGGCCCTTTTGGTGTTCAAATTGTACGCCTATATCTCGCTCCAAAAGTGTTTCCCAATAGTTTTTTCAACTGATCCTGAACCAGCTCGTCGAGCTGAACATTTCTATATATAAAAAGTTTGGGTTTGGCTAGGTGACCGTATACTTAAATTTAGCCAAAAATGTGCCTTTTTCATAATTTTTGATCAACCAACCAAAAATTTTTTCAAAAATTCCAATTTTTTTTGTCATTTTTGTATCTAAAAAAGACGTAAAATTCTATTGGAAAAGCTTAAATTTCGTTACAGGCTGCCTAAAAGTACATAGGAAAAATTTAGCTTTCCTTCCCTTATCAAGCGGAACCGCAATTGGAGCTTTCCTTTTTGAAACTATGAGTTTTAAAACGGACCTGCAAATTTCCTTGCCATATCAAATGGAAGCCCCGGTAAAGTATGCTTGATGATAATCGACGGGTCTGGCAGGAAATATGGAGCAATCTTGTAGAAGGCGCACAACACGTATACCTAAGTTTTATTAAAATAAAATAAAAGATCGGCAGCTTACCGGGACATTATGCCGCTGCGCTGAGAGACAAATACTGCGCCCACCCGGAGGCAACAAGCACGAACCATCGGGGAATACGGTAATCGCCGAAAGCACCACCTAAAACGTAATCCAAAAATAAAGAACCTAACCGACCTTGGTAACATGCGCCATTTTTGTCGCTGCCTCGCACAACTTGATATAATCCTCGACCGGGAAGTCATTATTCAATGGTTCACTCGAATTTTGGACAGACATGATCTAAGGAAATAAAAATTGGATTTTCGACAACAACCGCACCCTAAGTTTATGCTTTTCCCGTATGTCCTTCAGAAACGATTGAATTGTGGTGGACGAGTTGAGTGAATGCACCATAACAATGTCGCCAGTCTACATTGAATTAAAGTTGTTACTGGAGTAAATACCGAAATAAGTTCAGTCCCTATCCGCACGATGTTTTCTCGGCATGTCTCCATTTCGGTTTGAAGCTAAAAGCAATGATAAAATTGAGATCGCAATATAACCGGCAACAAAAACGAAGTTTTTGAACTCTACCTCTCTAACTCCATCAATAAGTTTTTCTCGAAAATCCTTCAACGGAACACGTAAAGCGTCGTCTTTCCGACGGTCAATCCACAGTCGGGTCAACGAGTTGAAGGCGGAAGTGGCATCCGAAATATCGCTTCTGAAGCCTTCGTCGCGAGCTATCTAAATCAAGACAGTATGACACAAAAAGCACGTTCCTTACCTTTGAAACAGCCAACACAAGGTTCCTAATGACGAACTCGCTCGGGTAAGCGGCCGTTATTAAACTTCCATTCTCATGGAGCACTTCTAGCAGCGTCCTAAAATCTTATTCTGAATTTTCACCACAAAACTCACTCGACTTTATCATATTTTTCGTGGCGCACAAGCCTCATAAGGAACGTCAGCACTTCGGTTGCCAGCTTCAGAGAGGGCTCTCGGGTAGCACTAAAAATAACTTAGAGCTAAAAAACGGGAATGCATCTACCTCCTTTTGATGCCCATCAACAATTTGGCACGGAGTTCGACGAGGTCTTCTTTCTTCCTCGACGCCATTTCGTTCCTAGTTCTAAACCGAGTTAGTAAAATTAAAAGGATTCTTGTATTCAAAGGAACGACAAAATCAAGCAGGATTAAGTTTAGATGCTTCATTTTTTAGAAGGCTAGCGCCTACGCTATAAAAATTGTTAAAGGGATGCCGACGGCATCGTCAATCGGTTACGCGCGAAAAAGAAAATGTCTCTGCGCCTCTCCCCTGGGCGCGCTCTCTCCCCTGTTGGCTACTTGCCAATTTGTTGATGAGGGGGGATCGACACATGCCGTCGGCAGCCCTTTAAAAATAATGTAACCACACCAAAAAAATGCTTATTTTCACAAATTTTGGTTCAATAAATAATCAAAATAAAATAAATAAAATTTTCTGCAGGAAAATATATGTTGTAATCGTCGATTGTATCTTGTAGTCTGCTCAAAATTTGCTTTCCCGCGCCGCATTGCAATTATCTCGGTCGCGTTGCGCGGCCCCGCGACGGCTGCCCGCCTTTTCAGTCATCTGCTCGCTAACTTCTCAGGGGCCATTCTGTCATTTATTTCATTCACTCGTTTATACTCCCCTCTTCCCGGCTTCAAAAACACTCGAAATTATAGGATGGCCTTGGGCAAGGTCTACGTCGGCGGTTTGCCCGACGATGCTACTTCGAAAGAGGTAATATTCGAAAGTCTTATTTTCTTTGTAAACGGATACCCAGACTTACCGCTCATTAACTTTGGTTAATGGGACAACTTTAGCCTTTTTATTATAAAAGCGACCCCGATAGTTAAAGTAGGGCTGTTAGAAAAATTGGGGTCTGCAAGTGCCGCCGCTAAAGCCCTTGTTTTCCAGGTCGAGGACGCGTTCTACAAGTTTGGCCGCATCTACAAGGTCTGGGTAGCCCGCCGTCCGCCGGGTTTCGCCTTCGTTGAATTCGAGGACGTGCGCGACGCAGAGGATGCTGTAAAAGCACTGGATGGAGCGTGAGTTACATTATTCTAGACATATATTCTTTTTTAGGCGCATTTGCGGTGCGCGAGTTCGTGTCGAACTGTCACATGGAAGACGCCGCGGTGGCGGTGGCGGTGGATATGGTGGTGGCGGTTACGGAGGCGGCGATAGACGGTACTTTTACGACTTTCTAAATCCTTTCGACACCGCTGTCCGGGAAGTGGGCGAAGAGTTGCCATGGCTAATTGGCTACCCTTTTAGTCACTTCCCTCATTCCCCCTCCCTACTCTGCGTACAAACTCCCTACATACCAGCCATATGCTGACCCCCAACCTTCTCTCAACCTTCCAACCGGCCACCTCGCGTGGTCATTGCAAACTGCGACAGCCATCCTCCGCTTCACAGCGTTGTTCTTATGGCTGGGTAATCGGAACAGAGTGGCAAAATTCTTGACAAGTTGTTGGCCGACCTCTTTCTGCATGATAACGTTCAAATAGATCTCACTCGACTGAAACACACTAAAATCGATGGCCGCCAACAACTATTTTCCATTTCTTATATAAAATATTTTTTTTCCAGATCTCGATCCCGCTCTCGGGATAGGCGTCGTTCCCGCTCTCGTTCACGCTCGCGTGATCGTTCCCGCAGCCCGCGCCGCAGGTCTCGCACCCGCTCCCGCACTCGTTCAAGGTATACATCTTTTATATTTTCAATTCTTGCTTTCAGGACCCCAGCTGACCGCGAGAAGTCGCGCTCCCGTTCGCGCACCCGCTCACGATCGCGTTCCGTCAGCAAATAACATGACTAACGCGATTCATTTCACACATTACGTTGTTTCTCTTGCTTAATCGGTTATTTCTCATCCAATTACGAATAAACATTTTTCTACTATATTTTTGAAAATGCACCTCAGCATGGTTATCGGCCAATTTCATTCCACGAGGTCTTTTGGGAGAGCTGGTATCGGCAACAGGGCGCTGCACTTTACGCTCGCTTTGCGGACGACGCTTGCAAACAGGCCGGGGGACCCACCGGCTCGCTCTTTTCTATGAAAACTTTGCATCATAGGGTTTTAAAACACTTTTATTGAGCCTCGAACTCTCAAAATATAATAATTATATATTTAGTTATTTAAAGCGTCCTTATTAGGTTACGATGGCTCTTCCACCAAACGTCAGCCATGTCCAAATCGACAGCTTAGTCGTGATGAAGATTGTCAAGCACGTCGATAGTGAGCTATACGCCGGGATGAGCGAGGTAAGGATTACTTATCATTCAGCATCTAGCTTTAGATTGCCGGAGAAAGCTGCCAAGGACTCCTCACTGGGCTCGTTACTGCAGAAGAGGAGCGTCTCGAGATTACCAACTGTTTTGCTACGGCAAGAAGCGAACCCGTGCTCGACGTGGGTTTCCGTATTTCCAGCGTGTTTACCAATATTCTAGGACGAGAGCGCCCAACCGACGAACAATCAAAATGAAGAGGTGAAGCAGCAAGAAATGTTGGACATGCTCCGAAAGTTCCGGTAATTATGATTTTATGTGCTAAAATTTTTCTCAGAAATATGAACATTGACTACGAATTGGTCGGATTCTATCAGGTGCATCCGTTTGGAGCCTGCTTCAATCAAGATTTGGTCGATTCTTTGAACGAGTACCAGACTAGTTTCAAGGACGGCGTTGTGCTGATCTACGGTTAGTGCTCGTTGTGATCTTAGGACCTTGTCTTTAGATCCCGTGAAAACCCGCCAGGGCCAGCTCAGCCTCAAAGCCTACCGTTTGTCGGTAGCAGCGCTTGATCTGTGTGCCAAAGGCGATTGGAGCCCGGAAGCGTAAGAAAGATTCTTATAACCATACTTTGAACATTTTAGTGTGAAAGCAGTGAGCCTCACTTATGAAACGATGTTCGAGGAGCTCCCAATCACAATCAAGAACAGCCGGTTGACGAATGTAATGATTGCGGAATTGGCGTTGGCTCCAGGCAAGGTTCCCGAAAAGACCGCCGCGCATTTGGAACTTGGAACAAAGAGGTACTTTTTGTTATGCGGTAAATATGCCGGATTTATTTAGATCTTTGGAGAAGTGTGTGCGTACAATGATGTCTAATATTGATGAGATGAACAAGAGCATTGGCGCTTTCACCAAGTACACATCCGAGAAGCAGCGCCACGATGCCAACATTTTCAATATGACTCAGAAGCGGGTATTAATACTTTTTTATTTTTACAACTGATTCTAGGAAGTCGAGAACGAGCAGCGCAAGCAGCGCGGTGAACCGCCAATTTCTTTCGACGACATCAAGCGATTGAAAGGACCGACACTTCAGACGAAAAACGGCATGCTCGAGTCCTTCCTCGCCAGCGCGGACACTGAGGCTTTGGCTGAATTCTGCACAAAGGTATTTTTTTATTTTCCGCTTTACATCTTTTTTAGGTTACCGGTGAGAACATTGCGAAGCTCTTCCTCGCCGAAGCGATCGCCATTGACAAGCGGGACACAAAAGACCGAAGCACCAGCTCAGTCTCCGGTCGTTGAGCAGAAAAATTGTCTGTTGTTCCTTTTTTTCCGGGACGCGCTTAATTTTATCGTTTTTGGGATTTATCACTGTTCAATTGTTGTTCTGCTGTTTTTACACGAAAAAAAGTTTATCCATTGTTGGTGTCGGAGCCGAACCTTGAAACTACATCCCGGAAGATTGAGGCGCCCTTTTGAAGCGTGTTCATGTTCTGGAAGAGGGTGTGGTTAGCGTCTAAAAGCTTACCGCATAGGCAGAATTACATCCATCGGTAGAACAACAACATAGCGAGGCACCGAAGCCAAGTACAGAGCTTTCCGCACATCGATTTTCAGCGGCCTTTCGAAATAGCATAAAATTTGGCTACCGGCAATACCTTGCAGATGTAGTTATTTCCACAGCCGCCTGTTCGTAACGCTGTTAGGTTGATATCCGCAGTAGCATTGTAGCAATAATCAGCTAAAGTTTACGTGACGCCTTCCAACTAGGTCCAGAGGCTTACACGATGGGCAATCGACCTGATCAGTGCCAAAATTGCCGCCAGGGGTGTAGGAAGTTCCGGAATAACAAGACAGCGCCAAAATATTTGGGATCATTAAAGCCAAAGAAACCCATTTCAGAGACATTTTGAGTTTGTGGTAACCCAGGGTAGCTGCTGAGTAACAGGTCAGCCCTTTTTTATTTACTCTGCGGCTCATTCAATAGAAACGTTGGGCAACAGTCCGGTGCCAATGTGTGAAGTGTGTCCCGATCATTCACATTTTCTTTACCATAAGATCATTAAAGTAACAAAAAAAGCAGATGAGATCAATCATTGCCCGGGTGAATCGATGGGTTCTTCACGGGTCGGCGTGTTCATTTCTTGTTGTGCAGGTTCGGGCTGCTGCTCCTCGACTAGCCTAAATAAAGATTTGTTTGCTAAATTTTCGGTGACTCACTGGTATAAACGCATACGGTGGAAATCGGTGAGGTGTTCGATGAGCGCCCAAGCCGAGTCCAGAATCTGTTCACAGGAGGCGCACTTCAACACGGCCGGCTCCTCTGAAAAGAAATAAATAATGGTCCACAAAATACACTCACTGTCTGCTTTCGGCTTCGTACATTGGCCGAGCCGGTGGTTCTTGTACGCCTCGAAATCACAGGTAACGAAGCGACATCCGCCACAAATCAGCGTGTCCACCATGGCTAAATCAGAAATCGTCTTACGATAGATAGAGATAGACAATAGGATAAATAAAGCATTGGGGAAAACCCACAAGTATTCGCCAAATAGGAATTTTTCGTGTGATCGATCCTAATCATCTTCTTGTTCCTCTCGTTCAAATGCTCGATGTCCTTTGAGAGCTCTTCCTGTAAAAGTTTGTTAAAATGAAAGGAGTGACGACAAAAATGAAAGAAGAAAAAATCAGAGACAATATGAAAAGAGTTCTTAGAGAGATAAGTGGGCGCTATTTCGGAATAGGGGACCCACTTGGATTTTATCAAATCTAGGGTTTGCGACATGTTTTCTTGGATAGTTTTGCGTGCTGGTTGCGAAAAACACCATACCAACGTGTAAAACCCTAGCCTTCGACATAAAAATTTTTGTAAGTCTAATGAACTGCTAGGGAATCTAAGTGTGCGTGCCTGACTTTTGGCCACAATACACTGATAGCTCCGTTTTGCAACCTCTAAACTTTAAAAGCCAACTAAGACCGGCTGATGAACTAGCTTGATTGAGACCAAATCTCGGTCATCCAGACGAACCCACCTCGCGTAGAGTCTACTTGTAAGCTAGGCCCTATATGGGCGACTTTTCCAAGCTCCCGTGTAACGTAAGGGGGATCCTAGGCTGTTTTTTTACGGAAGCTTCAGCTTAGCGTATGTGGGCGTTGCCATAAAGCCTAGACTCAAGCCAAAAACATATTCACCCAAGGGAATTGCCTCGCAAATGTACTTTTGAAGCCAAGTCCGACCGCCCTATCAGGCCTGGGAATTTTGCGGGCCGGGCCGGCCCGGCCCGGCCCGCCAGCCCGATTTCGCCGGCCCGGCCCGGCCCGGCCCGAAGCGATTTTTCTCGGCCCGGGCCGGGCCGGGCCGGGTCGGGCCGGGCCGGGCCGGGTCGGGCCGGCCCGACTTTTAAGGGTCAAATACGGGGTTGGTCAAAAAAACTCCCCCAAGCTGGTTTAACACCATTGCAAGGTATTTTGCTGTTAATACGGTATTAGTGGACCATTTTGCAGCACTTCTGTTAATAAAACTTGATTTTCAAAGTTATAACGATTTTTAAGAGCTAAATATCGACCGATCTCAGGGTAATAATGTTAAATTAAGCCATTTCGAGTTTCAATTCGCCATATTAATATATATTTTGAGGCTTAGTTTAGTACTACGATACATACTGATACATCTAAGAAAAAATCCGGTCGCACTGACATAAAAAATCCAAAAGCAAAAAAACGACGCCGGGCGGGGTCGAACCTGGATCGATTTCCTGGTAGGGACTTACTCAAGAAAAGGACAAATTTTTTATTGAGGCTGTATAATAACGCCAAATTAACTATTCGTGAGCGAAAATATGCAAAATAAGTCCCAATTGCCCCCCAAAAAAGGTATTTTTGGATTTCGTAAACCCCCTTCGGGCCGGCCCGGGCCGGCTCCGGCATTTTTTCAACCCTCTCTCGGCCCGACCCGAAAATGCAGATTTTTCTCGGCCCGAAAATTCCGAGGCCTGCGCCCTATGTACCATAGCGATCCTATAAAGATCAAATATTATGGTGAAAATGTACGTTTTTACGGGATGGGGTACCGTTTTTCGGAACGACCGTGCAAAATTACCCCAGCAAAAGTGGTTTTTAGAATGATCAAAGTGGGTCCCCTATTCCGAAATAGCGCCGATAAGTGTTCTTACGTCATCTTGCTTCGTTTCTTCAGCACTTGCTCGTTAGCTTTTTCGACGCTGGAAATGTTATAATTGAATTGGTGAATCTATCATACCCCTTGGGATTTGTAGCAACCCGTACATCCAGCCTGGTGCCCTTGTGCATTGAATTATGCAACCCCAGCACGGCTGCATCAGCATCCTGATGGCGGCCGAATTGTATGAAGGCATATCCCTGAACCAAAAGTAATTTTTCTCGATTTCAAACCTTGAAAATCGTGGCTCCAACCAGGACCCCGTAGCCTAGACAAAGCTCGATGAGATCCTCGCGCGTAAATGCATAATTGTGGAGATTGCCGATAGGACCTTGAGATCTAGGAGGGAGATAGATAAACCCTAATTACCCTTACCTAACCATTAACGGATCCATAGAACTCGTGTCGTAGCTGATATCGGGGTAGCTGCTGCTGGAAAAGAGGTGGATTCAGTTAAATATTGAAAATTTACGCTCTGCCCGTAGGCGGTGGAGGGGTCGATCGAGAAGCGGGCATCGGCGGTTGAGAAGTTGGTGGTGGCTGCATGTATCCGTATTGCTGAACTGAAAAGAAAAATTATTAGAAAGCTGGCGCATTCCGGTAAGGCAAACACCCAATTCAAAAGGCCGCTTGCGCGCGCAGTCTTTTTCACGAGTTCTCTCGCTCATTTTGTAGTCATTTTCCGAAATTCTCCTTGGTCAAAGTTGGAAAACACCCACATCCGGCCATCGTTCTAGATATGTAGCTTTTCTTGACGTCGCTCACGCTCTCGGGATTTGCTTCTTTTGCTGGCCAAGAAGCCTAAAAGGAAGTACGCGATAAAGGTAAAAGTACACCGCGGAACAGCCAAAATTTAACAATATGTTTTCAAAGCTTTTGGGAGTGTTTTCGGGGCGGCAATTTCAAGAAATAACAGTTTTAAATTGCCAATTTCAAAGACTGGTACATTTGATGGCGTGTTCGAAATGCGTCCATAGTAACGTTCGGATTAATTTTGCTGACGAACAAAATTTTTTTATTTTGAATTTAGAAAATGATTTGATGAAATGAGAATTAAAAGTTCTCATGCTTTTTGTGAGCCTCAGACCCATCGGGCCCATCCCTGACTCAGATCTGTGCCCTGTAATTGGCGGGCAATGTTCTTTCGAATGTATCCATCAGCCTAAAACACTAATGTCACTGCGACACGCATAAGTTGTGAGCCGTTTATTAATGTACATGTCATGGGGGAAAATGCTCTAGCAGAGTTTGCCCTCGACGCAAATCTGCTTGTTGTTCTCGCCCGCCTGGAAGGCCTTGAGCATCTGTCCCGAGTTCTTGTCGACGACGTTCTTGCAGATGGATGACTAAAGAAAAAAAATTATAAGTTAAAAATTATAATTATTTTTTGCAAAACTTTTCAAGCTTATCATTCCCTTTTAGTTAATTTAGTTTGCGTATTATTACCCGGTTTACTGAATTTTAATGTTAAGTTACATACGATTTCGGCTGTACCTCAAACCAGAGAACTGGGTGGTGCAGACCGTCCCTCTCCATGAACTTCTGCAGATCAGCCTGCTGCACATTGGAGAAGTCGTTGTTGTAGTTGGTGCGGGCATTCTGGCACATCGTCTGGCACTTGCCGCAGATGTCCCTTGGGGAGAGCGCGACGGCCGTAAGACGGCGAGAATTTGTGCAACGACGAACAGCTTCGACATGACGGCGGGCTTCTAAAAACACAGAAAAGTTAAAGTATAACTTTTAACACGAAAA